TAGGTCACATAGGCCCCGGTAGGCTCCCTGGCTGGGGACCTCGGGATGATGGTCACCGATGGTTAGGTACACTGAGTGTCGCAAACAGTGGCGCTCGTGCATCCACTCGTTATTTTTCTAACACCACTCTATGTGAATTCCCCATCTTCCGCTTGAATTTGCTTCGACATTCCAATCTTCATTTCTCTATTTTATCCAAATGGGCAACCAAAACCGGCGTACGAAAGTGCATGGTTAATGTTTGTAAAACTGAAACTGAAACTGTCAGTTCTATCAGATCTCACCGGAAAATGGTTGAATCCGTTACACAAGCTGATCGGTGAAAACCACAGCTTACATCACTCACTCTCTTAGATTATCACGTTTTTACCAATTATTTTGTCTTTACTTTCCCCATTTGCCTTTTAGAGCTTTGATCTACCTTAGTTTCATTCCATTCTGTCATGAATCAAAGTGTACGCCCACACCCCCTTGCGTTCATGACTCATTAATACAAACGTGTTTTTCTATTATGTAAGACATAAACTTCGGCTGAGAGTGCAACTATTGTGACATGGGGACTGTACGTCGATTGTCCGGAAATGATCCTAGTGTGACCATCTACCAATAGTATTCCGATGTTCTCCTATTGTGTCACGTTAACCGCCACCACTACAAACATCATCTCTGTCACTCGTCCTACAAAGACTGTCCTGAATAATCTTCATCCAGTGTTATTGACCGCCGTAGAATAGCATACCATACGAAATCGGTGGCATATTGAAATGAATGCTCTCATTTGTGGGCCGATTCTGACGTTCTTCGGTTATACCAAGAAGCCATTGGTTATATATATGTATATATTGATGCCTTTCAAAGAACGTCTAGTCAATATGAAATTCTTAGACAAGAGACTGGGGCAGATGACACGGGAATAGCAGGTCTATTGATATATATCATTCGAAGAAAACAAATTCCGAAATTGCACAGCGTCATCCCCAGAAGTCGAAGGCATGAAATGTAATGTGTCAGCTCTTTGACGTTAAGAAATGTTTGTTGCAGGTCGTAGGACCATCTGAGGTGATCAGGCAGAAAAGTTTCCAAGATATTTAAAATGCTATAACCTGTCCTCGTCATTGGAAGGAATCATTCTTTCCACCATACTGTGGCACGCTTGCTCATGAAATTGTTTTGCGGCTTTTCCTCTGTTAATACCTATTCCTGCACACATGTAGTCTCTGCCACCTTACTGGTTGAAAATCAGGGCATTCCTAATTCACTTTTGTTCTAGCTGTTGTTCCTTTTTTTCATAAGGGATTGAAACTCGCTTGATTTCCAGGCCGTCACACATATTACTTGTAAGACTAGGAACATTCTTTTGCCAATGCAGTCGCAGTGTGTACACATATCTTTGGGTTTCTGAATACATATGTAAATATTTGTTTATCAGAGAGTAATTTTTGGCTATCGAGCTTTGTGTTTTTAATGCGATGAAAGTAAACCTTGCAAACTAGTCGTCTGTTCAACCTAATTCTCGCAGTTTGAAAGGTAGCATTCAACTTGTTTTTCATTAGCCCTTCTTTCTAGCCAGTAATACGGAGCGCATTGAGTTGGGACATCATTTACCATATTGAAATGATCGGCTATGTTGCAGCATTATCATCCCTTACACAGGACTTGTTGGAGTTAGAGAAATCCACCACTTATCTTAGCTATGCCGTACAAACGGGGGTATGCATTCATCTGTGAATGATGATTGTTTTATGGTGATTGACCAACAGAATCCGTTGCCTATCGTGCCTCCTTTTTCTGTTTCGATATACACACTACAACTCCCACCGATATTGCCATCCGTCTGTCTACACATTCAGTCAACCTAGTGTAGGCCGAATGTTCAAGTATGCTTGTGTTCTGCGTTTGATATCCCAGATTTGATCCTAAGTTTGATTCCCATGACTGTAATCGCCCAGAAGGTTGGAGACCGCTGTACCGTGATAACTGAAATAGGTCTCATCTGACTTGTGTATACATTGAGTTTGATTTCACGATTTCAATGATTACTGCAGTTTTGAGGCTCTTCTTTTTTCCTGCTTTGCAAATCCAGATTCATGTTTATCCACCGGAATATGCCGCTCTCTTAACGTCATCCGAGAGCGCTCCGATCTACATCTACACTATACAAGATACATCTGCCCGCATTGCCGGATTCCGGGTTGGATCGCGCGTGACCGAACGGAATGAAACAGTGTACGAAGCCACGCGGGTTTGGCAAATGCAATTGCGTTCAGGCAGAGCGGTTGAATTTGATGACCGAATACCCCACACGATTGTGGCGGCGGCGGCTCGCCCGGCCACAGGTCAGTAGCACTCCACAGGCAGATCTAAGGAAATTTTCCTGCACGATAGACGGGAACTCAACTTTTGTGCTCTAACTAATCATCTTATTCGGGTCGGTAAACCCGATGAGCGTCCTGAATTCAGTATTTATAACTTAAGAGGAATATTCCGGTATCCACTGTGTGGTCCTCGTAACAGTGACAGTCATGTTAATTTTGACAATTATTTTCGTTTTCTTTAAAATTACTTTCAAACTGTCGTCTATTGTCGATGCCAGAAAACTGGATGTTTTTCGTTTGTTCTCTATGTGTGCAAATAACCAAAGGCTATGGCATTCACATTTCGCTTGTCCTTGTGTTATATTCCGAAAAGGCGGTGCTGGTCGAGGAGAGTTCTTTATTGCAGAATACAGATTGAAGGTCACTAATTTTACATGCATAACACGAAAAGCTCATCAGAAACATGTCTTCGCAGCACATCGCGACACAGGTTAATAGGTAGAACAAGCAGTGTTTATTCTTGCCAAATATATTACTTGGTCCTTGATAGTCTTGTTCTATTTTTAATCACCGAAAGCTACCGACTACTCACAAGTGAGTAGTATCTCACAACACTTGTGGTTCTCCTCATGAAATGCAATGTGATATTGTTATAACCTTAAATCGGTGCTCGAAAGTTTAAATGTCATACTTCCCCTCCCGTCGTGTTCACCTGTCAACTCAGTTCTTTAGTGGTTAAGCGATAATCCACATGACTTACCGCATTGCTTTTTTAGACCATATCACAGTATTATAACCGTTTCGTATGAACTGTTGTCGTGATAGTCAGTTGGTGTCAATCCAGGCTCGGAATGCATTAGCTGGTCCGTCGCGGTTGAAGTGGTTACATCTAATGCGTGTCATGCTGACAGCAAACTCATTCGATGTTTCCCAATCCACCACATCTCTTTGACCCGATGGTTTAAGCTTTTTCGCAAACAGTCTCAGTATACGATATGTCAGCTGGGTGAGAGGTACGCGGTCAAGTCGAATTTATTTTTCCCACTTGTATTTTACGTTATGTGGCCGTAAAAACACCATTAAGTACCGGCCACCCCTTCCTTTCACTTTGTGGCCGTTCTATTGTCAGCTTTTATCTACCCTTTCCCCCTGTGCATTTCTCTTGTCAGAGCATATTCATTCCGTGGGTCGTGTTCTTGGTGATCGGAGTGTTCTGTACAAATATCTCAACCCGAATCTGATTGCTGTGGTCACTGCTGGCGGGGATGTGTCGGCCCAAACAAACAGCATCGCGGTTTACCTGATCGATGTGGTCGCTGGTCGCATATTGTACAGTGCCTCTCATCGACGTTGTAGCGAACCGGTCAGTCTTGTTCATTCGGAAAACTGGATTGTGGTAAGCAATCAATCTTTGTGTGTGTGTGTGTGTGTTTACGCATCATTCAACCTGTGCAATAGTGTAAGGGGTATCCGCAAGTAGTAGCTGGCAGACGGTATTGTACCTGGGGTAATCTCGGACATTTACCCTACTCTTAGGTGTCACTTCCTGAAGCTGACACATGCATTCGCCGCCGCATGCCGGTAAACTGCTCGACAGAAGCAAAATCCAACTGAGGGTAACCGAAGCTTTCAAAACCTCGATTAGTCTGCTCACCGCTACATCAGATTGGACGCACATAATATTTGTTCGGATCCAGGACCACAAAGGGAAATTTTTAAACTTACAATGAATCATTGATCCCTAGGCTAAAACCACACCAGTCAAACGGCAAATGAGCTCCGGCAACCATAAGCACTGCTATCTTGCGGTCTGCACTTCCACAGTGGAAAAGCTAGAGGTTCACCCTCGAAATGCAAAAACCGAGTTACGCTGGAGTCATCTTCCTTATACGAAACATCGTGATCCGATGTCTCCACTAGGTTAATCGCCATGTGCTCCTCTAGTTACCGTGGTTTTCAGAATACGAACAGGATCTTTCAAACTAAAAAAGCGTCTCTGCTTGAAATGCAAGAAAATGAGAACCATTCCGGACGTCGGAAGCTAAGCAGCGACCTGACGTAGACTGCAAGATCACCGCATGGATATGTAATTTTTATCCGAGGTCCGGTTAACTGTTTCGGGTTATCGTAGTATCAAAATTTCCGGTACATGTAATTATTGTCAGTTTTATCACAGCGACAGAGTTAACTTGGGTCAACAGGGAGTGGCCATAGCTTCAAGTCACTCAGATACTACTTGACTTTTAGGAACAGTTATTTTCATGCATCGCTATGAGGTGTTTGGAATGTAAACCCACCAACCTTACTGTAACTGCAGTCTGTGCCCCAACCCTCCCATCCAACAGAAATTCAAGGGACCAGTTTTACGATAGTCTTCAAACGATGATGGACCGCAATAGCGATAGGGATGCATGTATCATAGCAGTAGATTGGATTTCTGGCATAACTCCGCATAAAGCAACATCCTTGGGGAGTAATGACTGAACCAACTCCGTGAAACCGGAGACAGGTTGCCCAATTTCTCAGATTTTAACCCGCTTTATTTGACGTGTTTACGGTTCCAGCGCCGCAGAAAACGTGTTCACAGGACTTTTTAACGGCGACAAAACAACTCATGGAATGGTCTGTATACTGTTCCGGTTGCACTGGATCTCGTTTGTAGATCGCAACGTAGATTGCAACGCGGCACTGACACCATTGAAAGCTGTGGCGCAGATCACGAGCTGGTACGTGCAAACCATCGTCTTCCGTTGGTTACTATTATTAAGACTTCTCCTTCAAAGCGCATCAAGGTGGGTCCTCTGACGCCTAAGTAAAAATTGCAAGCACTGATGAATGAGATCCGAATGCGGCTGTTGCGAGTATAAACACCTCAGACACCAGGTAATTAGCTCCAAAAGAATGGATCGACGCAACTACGGGAGCCAAACAACGAGATAGAATCTGTAACCAGTGTATGTCACATTGGAAATCTCTTTCGGCTCTTGCGATCAACTTCTGGCTGAAAATAGTTCATACCATCTGTCCAGCGTGATTCTTCCGTTAGGTTTATCTCTAACATCAATAGTCAGAAAATTAAAGTGGTAAAACATTTTAGTCAGTTTCTTCTCAATCCGCTAGATAGATCAGCTTCCATTTTCATCAATAGGGATAAGACGGTGTTCCCGAGTCAACGATGCATCGACCGGTTGGACAAGATTGCAAAGTCGCACGCTGAGCCTGTGATGCGACGTTCTGTTGCAGTGAAGCGTGCATGCACTTAGACCAACCAAGGAGGCTTCCGACTCCGTACACAATTTATCGATCAAATGCATCGAATCCTGGAACATCGGCACGATTTCCACCGACCCCCGCTACAGGTTTAATCAACTTTCCCACTTCAATTCAGTAAGCCACTAATTATTGTGGAGAATAATGACTGCACATTTAGGTTTAGTCGGGCTGGTTAGCGTAATAGGATCTTGTTATGCTAGAATAAGACTTTTTGTCCGCTCATACGGCGCAGAATCTTCTTTCTTCAAGCCTTAGCCTACAACACACTGCATTTGTGATACCTTATTTGCAAGCCTGACACCACTCTTACATATATCATTCTGGAACCATCTCCATGCATCTACTGGCTCTCCCAATGCCTCGTGTGTGTGGCAATAAAAACCGTATAGGACATATTCCAACGTGTTCTCTGACTGGTGCAATGCTTTCGTCGGTGGAAAACAAACTGAATCGAAATATGTAAGTACCTCGCAGCGAATCGCTACTCATGGGCAGCACTGTTGAAGTATATTTGTCAATCCGGGTTATCCTCCTCGAGCAGCCAACCGTAGAAAAATATAAAAAGTGGAAGTCATTCAGCCCCCGGGAGTCGATGTTTCTCCGGTCTAGTTGATTTGCCTGAGGAAGACGGTATCACTGTTTTCACGGGTTCTTCGTTTTATGTACGTCCACATTGCTCACTGACTGATTTCTCTAAGAATACTCATCCAAACATTTTATCTGCTTATCACTGCTCGATGATCAGTGAATGATACATTTTTGCCATCGCGTTGTGACATGCCTTTCCGGCTGGAATTCCCCTGGAGACCCGAATTTCCCCTGCGGAATCTTCACTGTTGTTTTCATCACACAGCAGTTTGTAACAAACACTGAAATTAGCTATCCCCTATGGATTAGTTGCAAGAATCGGCGATTTAAACCTTGATTTTTGGAGTAGTGAGCGAAATAAGGCTGCGCAATGATAGATGTGGTATCAAGCGGTAGGATTCGAACCGCGAACCCAACGCATGTTTGTAACGGCGACTTAAACCGCCAATTTACAAAATGATACTGAAATCAGATCATTTGTACAGTTCTATACGGCGTGTTTTTAAATCGACCTTTCCAGACGTATCTTATGCCTTTCGTGAGTTGCGTGCAGCTCTCAATCAAGCTTTTCTAGTGTGTAAACTGTCAGTTATCCATGAGATAATTTTTGTATCACCTTGGAAATTCCATGATCGGTGTTTTGCTTTATTTTTTACCGATATAGTATACTTATTATAACCACAAATCCCTCCGTCATGAAGTTACTGTTCTGGAATTGTACGAGCCATTCAATCAGTCCGGTGGTCCTGGGGAATTGTGCGCGTCGTATTTGGTCCCGGGGCCCTGGCAGTTATTCCTACGGAACGTGTTTCCCGCCTCTTGGCTTCCTTCTTCATTCACCGGGACACCATCTGAATCCGGTCCGTCCACAGATTCCGCTGATCCCAAAGCGTGGAATCGAGGGTTCCGTACCTACTTTTCCTCACTATACCGGTCCACCGATTCCGGTGGAATATGCGAATCAACTGGGGCTCATTCGCTCATCCCACAGGTGTTGCAACAATCTTACATCTTTAGCACTGCACCCACACACGGAGCGGCGGCTGCATCGCTGACTGAACGGGGAATCACATCCAAAAGTGTTATTTGTAAGTCATCGATCGATCACATGCACACAAAAATTCACTGCCACTACAATGTATGTGCTCTGGTACGCTGAAGAATATTCCTATTGAAGTTTAAAGGCTATTGAAAAATTCCTAGGCTCCTGAGCAAAACCTACCCGCACCTGAAATTAGGTAGTGAATTTTGGCCGCTCTGTTGGAACTGCCTTGATAAGAAGTTGGAGGTCAGTACAATTGCTTGTTACATATTTCAACATCACTGAAACGTAACTTTAGCATGTTGGTCTTAGGGAAACGTCAAATGAACAGTTTCGTTCACGAGACCCTGAAGGCTTCAAAACACCACCAGGTGCAGATCTGGAATCCATGAACAGAGGTCGTGTTTTGGATGCACTCAGATACAATATTGGAGGCGAGTGATTGTTGTCGGTATTGTTCTTTCCTCCAGTCTTTCCGTATGCCGTTGAATCGAACACTGATCTCGAAGCTATTCGCTTCCTCGCAAAGAGGTTTCTACATAAGCACAAGCCGGGATAGCCCATCGCTGGAGGTCATCGCCAATACAGAACTTTGCTGGAGATGTACTGGCGGAGATTTGTTGCTGAAAACTTCGCCTTGGATCACCTAAGTCTTAAGGAACAAAATAACCTTGTGACTTTGTCTTATGTTCCTCGAATTCTTTGATACCTTTTCGAAAATACATTTTGATATGATGGCATCCTAGTAGAAACGCCCACCAAATTCTTCCCCTTGGTATTGAAGGCTGATGACGTCTCATAATGTCGCCGCGGTGCCCACTAACTGCGAAGGGTGAATACTTGAGACGGCTAACCGACAATTATGACTAGGGGAGTTTGATCCACTACAATGAATTACACAGATAGAATAAGTGTAAACAGAGATGCTTCACTGAAGAATCAAAAATCTGAGAGTTGATTCATTGTCACGGACTTTCGCAAAATCTAACTCAATGTAATTATGTTTGAGAGTAAAACTCGAAATACTTGGCACAGTACTAAACAGTGGCATTCCCGAAATCGCTCTTCATTCAGAGTATTTACTTCTCTCACAGTAAAGAAATTTTTCAAAATTGCATTACTCTTTTGTCTTTTTGTTTAATGTTCGAACTTGTAAATTACCGAGAATCCCGACAGTTACATGACAATTGAACAGCTTGACGATATCCGCGTATACTAAACGAACGACCTCTTGGAACTTTTAATCATACATTGCATTAATTTTGTTCATGGTATCTTCCGACCTTTCTGGGCGTTACAAACTTAGCCACACGCACATATTGGGATGTTTTTATTTGATAGATCTCTCTGAACAGTATCCTAGTTGTACCCATAGCGTACAGGTATGAAGAAGCTGGCCTCAGCTTTGGCTTCCGTGGGTCCAGCCTGCCTTTCAGGTTGGGGCCCAAGGGATGAGGATTGTCGTTGGTTAGAATCGCTGAGAGATATGGCCCAGAATAGAAGTCAGTGGCACGAGTGTTGTANCAACACAACACAATGCTTTCAAAATGTGTATGGTGAAACACTCAAAAATATTTGTTGTTCCAGTTATCTACCGTTTTCAATTTTAACTGTTTCACCTTTCCACTTTGTTCTGTTTCTCAATCCACTTATCTCCCGTTATTATTGTTGTGGCGTTGGCACTCCGCTTGTCTACAAGC